TTTTTTTTTTTTTTTTTTTGCAGTACTGGGGATCGAACTCGACCTTGTGCATGCCAGGCTGCCACAGTGCCACTGAGCTAAATCTCCGGCCCTCAAAAAAGTGGCTGTAAAGAGGCCTTGCTGGATACCTCAGTTGCCATCCAACTTATAAAAAACAAACATTCACACTGTGGCACCACAGATCTAGCTTACTTACGTCAATGCCCTATCTTCCTTTAAGAAACCGTCATAGTTCTATCACGTTTCCCATTCTTTTCATGTTCTCCCCAGAAGTCTTAAGTCCTCCCTGTCATTGTTTTCTAGATCTGCATCCCTCTACTACTGCTGTGTATATCATCTAATCTGATCCAGATTCTACCAGGCATGCCTTCCTAGAATTTACCCTTGGAGTTATTCTAGAGTTCTTCTCTTACCCAAACATTCAGTCCTGTTGGCTCTGCTGCACATTTCCAAGTCTCTCTGCCCCTGTCCTACTTCAATACCAAACCCTCATCAAGCCACTATCTCACTTGCCTGGATAGTTTCAGTAGCTCCTCACTGGCTTCCCTGCTTTCCATCTTGGCTATCAGTGGTTCATTAAAACAAATGTCACTTCTCCACTTAAATCCCCTAGAGGATTTCCAGGGGAAGAGCAGAAGAGGGAGAATCTAAGTTCCCCCTCAACCCCACCTTGCTTCTTTAAAGAGACATCTGTTTCTGCTGGGGCCTTTCCACTTGTGGTTTACTCTTCCCTGGTCTTCACATTACTGTTTCACATTCTAGACCTTCGTCACCCAAGATATCCGTGGGCCAGCCTTACACCTTGCAACCTTTACGTGGAAGACTGACAGTCTGGGTGTTAAATGAGCTTCTCAAGTGATGAGTGAGGCCCAGCAGCATCTGTGTGCACTGCCTCAGTGTTCTCTACCTTCCTCTTCTCTAGGAAGCTCATCCCGGAGCCAGAAAAGGGAGGCCCGCCTGGACAAGGTCCTCTCAGACATGAAGCGACACAAGAAGCTGGAGGAGCAGATCCTTCGCACTGGGAGAGACCTCTTCAGTCTAGACTCAGAGGACCCCAGCCCCCCCAGCCCCCCACTCCGGTCCTCGGGTAGTAACCTGTTTACCCGGCAGCGGAAATACTGAACAATGACTGCTGCTGCTACTGCCTGCAAGGTGCAGAGACTGTGGACCTGCCCCTGTTGGGCCTGGTCCCTCCTCCCTTCCTAAACCAGGACCCTGGAAAATTTGGGAAGGAGCTCCCAACACAGCACCTTTCGGGAAAGAATGTGTGTGTGTTTTCTGTTGACCGTCTTATTTTGAGACCTGGGCTGGGTTTTCTAAAATTAAAAGGTGCAGGGTTTTCTTCTCTTAAGAGGAGTTACAGCTGGAGAGTAAACAGTCGGCTGCACTTGAGCAGGGACAGAATTTTGTTGACCCAAATTGCAAAACTAAAGCCAGATGAGAGGCAGATTCACCATCTGTTTCCCATTTCATCCCTTGAACAGTCCCAGTCTCAAGCGGGGCCATTGCTCATTGGCTCTGAAACAGAAATTCCTGTGTGGAATGAGCTGCCTTGCCTTGCCTTCAGCTGCAAACGGCAGCCCCCAGGAGAAAATGAGCATCAGCTGCCTGGGCCTTTAACTACTTAAACCCTGCCCCGCGCCCCGCCCCACCTGCCCCGCCCGGCTCGCCGTTCCGGGAAGAGATCCCCTGGCGGGCGGGTGTAGATTCCTAGTCTGAGAATCGCTTCTGGTAACCACGCTTTTCGATGTGAGTATGTTATGCTGCCCCCCGCTAGTGGTGGGTCTGTGAGCCCCCAACGTTCTTTTGTCTCCCGTTCTGCTTTCTAGGGCCGTGTTTTTTCTCCTTTGAGACAAGGTCTTGCTGTGTTGTTCAGCCCGGCCTGGAACTCCCAGCGATCCTTCTGTCTCAGCGCCCCCGCCCCAGTGCTGGGATTGCAGACTTTCCTCACCACGCCCAGCTTCTGCTGGGGTAGTTAAGACTTCTCTAAGTCAGAGAGGGAGAGAGAAGGGTGGAGGCTTTGCTTTTTGAGGTTTTGCTTACTTGAAAGTTTGCTGGGGTTTGAAGTGAAGGTAGATCAGCTGGCAGACACCCCCAGCTCCCAGTCTCAGGCTTCTGATCTCAGGGTGGCACGGAAGTAAAGTGGTACTTGACTAGCTTGTACCAGTGTATGACTGACTTAACTGTTCAGGAGCCTGAGGCAGGAAGATCTCTGGAGCCTGGGAGTCAAAGGCTTGTCTGGGCAACATCTCTAAGCCTCCAAAGTTCTTTTTAGCCATGTCCTGCTTTTAGGGAGGGCCTTGCTCTTGCTCCTGCTGCTTCTGCTTCTTTCTTTTTGAGTCAGGGTTCAAGGTATCCTTGAACTCAATATGTAGCCCAGGCTGACCTCAAACTCATGCTGATCCTCCTGCCTCAGCCTTCCAAGTGCTAGGATTACAGGCATGTAATAACTAACACCTGGCTTTTTCTTTTCTTTTCTTTTTTTTTTTGAGACAGTCTTACTGTGTAGCTCAGCCTGGCTTGAACTCGCTGGCCTCAAACTGTTGGTGACCTGCCTGCCTCAGCCTGGGTGTGGGCCATAATTTTCTGTTTAGGGCCTTGCTTCTGCTGGGGCAGCTAAGAATTCTCTGAATCAGAGCAAGGAGGAAGGAGGGTGGAGGCCTTGCTTTGGGAGGTTTTACTTCCTTATTGGACTTTTTTGGGGGTTTGAAGTGAAGGTAGATCAGCAGGCAGACACTCCCAGCTCCCAGTCTCAGGCTTCTGATCTCAGGGTGGCACAGAAATAAGGTAGGTGGTGCTTGGCTAACTTTTACCAATGTATAACTAGCTGCTCAGGACCTTGAGCCAGGAAGATCCCTGGAGCCTGGGAGTCAAAGGCTTGTCTGGGCACTGTAGAAAAATCCTTATCTCTTAAAAAAGTGATAGGCGTGAGGGTATAGCTCAGAGGTAGCATGCTTGCTATACTCCAGAAGCCCTGGATTTGATCCCCAGCACTGCACAAATTTGGAAAATCTGGGCCTGGTGGTGCAACCTAAAATCTCAGCACTGGGAGGCTGAGGCAGGAGCATGTCAAATATGAGTTCTGCCTGGGCGATTTAGGGAGACCCTGTCCCGAAAATTTAAAAAGCCACTGGGATGTAGTTTAGTGTGAAAGTCCTTGGTTCATTTCTCAGTACTAGCAAAAAGTTTTTTAAAAAACGGGTGACCTTTCAAAGTCCATTCAGACCCATCTTGGAACTAGGCTGGTCTTTGACTGACTGCCACTCTCACCCTCCAGCAAGAGACCGAGGCTCTGGCCTGTTCCCTTGGGCTCCAAGAATGTGCCGGGTCCCCATGGATCGCTGCCTTTGCCAAATGCTGAGGCTTTGCTGCTGCTCTGCTGGGCCTTGCCAGCTGTGGGTCTTAACTGATCACTTGAGACACTATTAGCAGTGACTGAGGGAGGCCGGGATTCCAGGAGGTGCAGTCCGGTGACCCGGCTCTGACTTCTCTTCAGAGGAGGGAAAGTACGAAGTGGGAAGCTCAGCAGGTGATCCTGGGGTCTCAGAGCTATCACAGGTCAGCATACTCGCCTGGGAAATGGCAGTGAGGCAGTTGTGCCCTGTGTCCACTGCTCCCTGCCTGCGCAGGCTTCTGGGACATGGGGAGAGGGTGGTTATCACTTGGGGTGCCAGGTGGCCCTCCCAGGAACCTCTTGTTTCTGCCTGCCTCTGAGTCAACTTAGGGTGACCATGAATGGCCACCTCAGGCGGTGCCTGAGGACTCCCAGGTAACTGAGTGTCCAGATGCCCTCCCAGGCCTTCCAGGTATAGAGGCTGGGCATTGGCACAGACTGCAGAAATGCTCACCTGTGAACTGCCCTCTTACCTGTTTCCTGGGCAGCACCCAACCCCACCCAGGTCCTTAGGTCCTTGTGCCAGGGTAGTAGTTGATGCCTCCACCAGAGAGGCCACAGCACCTCTGGCTATGAAACCAGGATAGAGTTCTGTCTTGAACCTTTGAGAACTGTATGGGGGGTGGGTGGCAGTACTGGGGATCGTACTCAGGACCCTGCACTTGCAAGGCAGGTGTCAACGCCACTGAGCTAAATTCCTGGCCGGAGGACTGTGTAATCTTGTGCACGTTCCTTAACTTACAGGTTTTCAGATGATAACACAAGTTCACCGACAGTGCCTAACAGTGCCTGATTAAGTGCACATTCCAGGGTCTTCTGGAAACCTTGACTCAGAGTGAGGCCAGAGAAGGATGAAGCATCCCAGCCAGTGCCAGTGTGCTTGAATCGCTTGCAGTACCAGCTGTTTGGGAGACTGAGATGCCAACCTAGGTTTCAAGAGCAGCCTGGGCAATGTAGCCCATAGTCCATAACCTTTACTAAGGAGGAAAAAAATCCCTCCTCTGGTCGGGTGAGTTTAGGAAACTTTATCCAGCTCGGGGTTCAGAAGCCTTCATGGTCCTCACCTTCGATGATAGCCGTTCATTGGCAGAAGTAGGGAAGTGGGAGAGCAGAGTCACCAGGCTGCTCCTGCTGCTGAGTGGCCCCATGGGCTGGAGCTCAAGAAAGGCTTTTCTTAGGGATAAAAGTTCCTATAACTTTGTCACTAAGAAAAGTGATCCTCCCTCAAAGTGGGAACGAGTTTTGATAAACTGGGAAGGTACTGAGTGAAAAATAAGTCCTCTGCTATTCTTGACTCTGTTGACTCGTGACTCCTTCTCTAAACAGACCACAGTGATGGTGAACATTTCAGAGCTTTCAATGATGATAAACAGCTGGAAGAGCCACAAGTAGAATGTTTAATCAAAACTCAGGAGGGTGGGCACGGTGATGCATGCCTGTGCACCCAGCAGGAGAATCCTGTGAGTTCGAGGCCAGCCTGGGCCACATAGTTCAAAACCAGTCTGAACTACACAGACCTTATCTCAGAACAAATCAAATCAGAAGGAAAAAAACTGCTAAAGAGTCTAGATTTTGGAAGAGATGCATGGACTTTTTTCATGTGGCAGGGATTCAGCTGAGCTACATTCTCAGCCAAGAGCCTTTGTTTATACCAAATTTCATGTACCTTTCCTTAAACCTATAGCTGGTGGAGATCTGGTAGCACAGCCGAGGCAACAGCTTCACAATCTCAAGACAAAAATGGTGGGGAGAAGCTGTTTGGAGCTGGGTCTGGGGAGGGCTAGAAAAGAATGAATGGAGCCCCCACCCTGACGTGATGGAAGGGTGAGTGGCTGAGGCAGGATGATCACACATTGGACCTCAGCCTGGGCAACTTGGGGACTTACCAAGAGAATCCTTAAAATAAAAACTATAAAGAGGTTGGGGCTGGGTGTGGCACACACCTGTAGTCCCAGCACTCCGGAGGCTGAGGCAGGAGGACTGCCTTGAGTTCGAGGCCAGCCTGGACTACATAGTGAGAGCCTGACGCCAAAAAAAAACAAAAAACAAAAAACAAAAAAAAAACGCTATGACTGTAGCCCAGTGTGAAAGCGGTGGGTTCAGTCCCCAGTGCAGGGACCAGAAGATTTCTTGCTCTTAAGCAGTCCACTATTTGAGCTCATCTTTAGTCTTCCTAGCGGTGCTGGTCTTTCTGTTCACTAGACATCTCTGATTCGTGCCTGCAACATGAGGAAGCAGCCTTGCCTGTTCCTGCTCACCACTGGGTAGAGCAAGGCTCAGTGGTTCCTAAGTGGCTCGAGATCAGGCTGATGGTGACAGAGGCAATCACACTGACATTTTCTACGCTGGCTCTCTGTCCTTTTTATGTATTAGAGTCAGCATGAAAGCTCTTAAATCCAGCCGTGCACAGCCCTGAGTTTGATCCCCAGCACCAAAAAAAAAAA